TTCGAAAGAAAGGTTTTAAGAAAAATATATGGACCGGTCTTTGATAACCAAACAAACGAGTGGAGGAAATTGCATAATTATGAAATTCAAATGCAGTTTCAGAGGCCTGATATAATTAAAGAGATAACAAAAAGAAGACTCATKTGGGGAGGTCATGCCTGGCGTAAGCAAGGATCTCTTGTTAGGCTGGTAATAGAGGAAGAGCCTATAGGGAAAAGACCTTTAGGAAGACCCAGGTTGAGGTGGGAAGACTGTGTAAAGAAGGACATAAAATCGATAGGACCAGGAATCAGATGGAGAGAAGTTGCAGAGGACAGGGACAGATGGCAAGATTTGTTTATAGCGGCATGGTCTTAAAGGCCGAAGCCAATAGAGAAGAAGAAGAAGAAGAAGAAGAAGAAGAAGAAGAAGAAGAAGAAGAAGAAGTATATTCAATAATATTATTTTATTGGATTTTTAGCTTTGTATATGTGAAACAATTTTTAAAATTGCTGCCTAATAACAAATTGCTTATTTCTTATTCTTCCACACTAAATTGTATAAAAATATATTTAATATTATTATTATTTCTATAAAAATCTCAAAATTACATTAAAAAATGTAGGGCAACTTATAACGACATAATATAGCCTATAGATTCATAGGATTTTTTAGCTTTCTGAAAGTAAAAAAAATTTTAAATCAGTTAAAATAGTTCCAGAGATTAAACAAATCAAATGAAAAATTTTTTTTTTTATTAATTTGTATGTGTATTAGTTTATGTTATCGGTGTGCATTTTATCGTTCGACAATTAATATATAATACGAGCATAATATTCTATTGGTATATTAAGTATATTATATTGGTGTATGCGCGATGCATGAGATTATTTTTATTGATAAACTTCTCAGAACAATACTTGTTCAACTTCGTACAAAAAGGATAGGTTGCAGGTAGCTAGAAACCCACGGGCCCTCATGAGCCTGTGGCATGCAGCACAATACGTACGTATTGGCAATGAATAATTAAAATTTTAATTACTCCACTAAAACACAAAATTTTTGAAAATCCTTTCTTATTGCAAGTTGAAAATATGAGAAGAACCTCTATTCCAAATTTCAAGTTCGTACATTGCGTAGTTTTTGAGTTACAGTGATCAGTGAGTGAGTGGTATTTGCATTTTATATGTATAGATTTACTTATTAACAGGTATCACTTAAATCAAAAATWACAATATACAAGGTAATTATCAGACCAGTCCTTTTATATGCGTGTGAAACATGGMCAATGACTAAAGGAGACAAAGACAAATTAGCAATACTCGAAAGAAGAATATTTGGGCCAAAAATAAATAACATGACACAACAATACGAGAAAAGAAATAATATAGATATACAACAATTATATAAAGAGCCAGACATAGTAGCAGTATTAAAAAATAGGAGAATGGCATGGGTCGGTCATGTATGAAGGTCAAATGGTCTTCTGAAAGCGGTTTTAAAATGGAAACCCCAGGGGAAAAAACCACTTGGCAGGCCGAAACAAAGGTGGATTGACAAAGTGGAGAAAAATTTAGCAGAGATTGGAATACGAGATGGAGAAACAATAGCGCAGGACAGAGATAGATGGAAGCAAGTTTGTGTTGCGGTAATGGGCCTCAATGGCCTTTGAAAACCGAAGAAGAAGAAGATTTACTTATTATCATTTAAGTATAAAATTGACAATTTGCTTACCAATAACATTATTTCGAGAAGATTCATTGGCTTCTGTTTCTTTTGAAGTATTCAAATTGATTTGTTTATTGCTTTGTAATTGAGAAATTGTGTTATTTTCTTCAGTTAAAGATAAATTAACAGAATGTGATTTATCCTCTGGAGAGCTTTGTTTATTAGAAAAATATAGTTCTAATCTAAAATAAAAATTAATAATTCGTTAATTTAATACATTAAATCACATATATTTATATATTACTTTGCAAGTGGTTTTGTATGCATAATCATACTATTTCCATTGTTTTTACTACAGTCATTAATGTCTTTTTTTAAATTCAATTTCTTACAGCCTGATCTCGGAGAAGAAATATTAAGTAGCAGTGAATTATCACTAACTTTATCTAGACATTTCATTGTTGGTGGAGATTCTTCAAGTCCATCAAATAAGGATTTACGATTGAATTGAGGGAAATTTCTACGAATTTGAGGTATTCTCTTTGGTGTTGGTATTGGAGAAACTTTATAGCTACCAAACTTCTCAAGTGATACACTCTGGGAYCGCACAAGAGATGAATCATCTACTTTTGATACGTCCTAATTTTAACACATATTTAATATTAATTTTAATAAAAAAAGTATAATGAATCATTTAGCACTATTTAGAGTACCTTATAAAATCTTTTGAACAGTGGTGAATCTCCATATGGCATTGCTTTTAATGTATCTAGTTGTAATTGCATTTGATTACTTTGTGATGCCTGATTTGTAGATAACTGAACATTGTTGGTACTAAAATTAAAATAATATGGTTTCAGAAGTTATAAATTTAATTTTATTAAAWTTTATTTACTTTCCAAAAAGCCCAATTCCACTAGTTTGTTGGTTATTCCCAAAAAACGATGTTCCACTTGTACCAAAACTATTAGTATTAGATGATCCAAAAAGTCCAGTTCCTTGTGTTCCTTGGCCAAATAACCCTCCTGGTTTAGCAGCATTATTAAATACACCTACAGTTTTAATTTAATAATGTTATTTAATTTCATCGCTATTATTAAGGTAATAATAATTTTATAAACCTGTTTGTTGATTTGAAGGTTGGTTAAATAATGAAGTAGTTGGTGCCTTATTAAAAGAATTAGAACCAAATAAGCCACCAGTAGCTGGTTGAGATGTAGAAGTAGCACCAAAAGCATTGTTTGTACCAAAAGCTGGAGTAGTCATTTGAAAACCAGTATTAGCAGGTTTACTACCAAAAATACCGTTTGTACTAGTAGATGTATTAGTTCCAAAACCAAAACCTGTTGTTGTTTGTGTTGATCCAAGACCAAATGCTGGTTTATTCTGACCAAATAGATTGTTCTAAAAATATATTACAATATTTCTGTAAAACAWAGAGAAATAAACAGTTACTTTTTAAAGCAACAATAATAACCTGAGCAGGTTGTCCGAATCCAGTTTGACCAAATCCAGTAGTTTGAGTACCAAAAGTTGAAGGTGCAGTACTTCCAAATATATTTGTCTGAGGAGCAGCAACTTAAATATAAATATATATATATATATTAAGGTATTTATACAAAAATATAACTAACAATATAAAATAACTAATTAATAATTTAATCACAAAYAAGTAGTAAAATCAATATAATAGGTATTGATCTAAGATGAGGAAAATGGTTGATTGATTAGAGACTTTAATATTTTACGAAACATAACCAATCTATCTTATAAATAATTCACTAGAGAAATCCAGTGAATACAAACTTCTATTATTTCAAACAGGAATCCCCCCCATATTCACCTATAAATATTAAGCACCTTTTTTTTGTTTGAGAATTTTAATATATCTAAATCAAAATTCAAAGAGTTTTTGAGTTCTATAACATTTTGTACTGAGGATAATATGTCTATGGTAATGGATTAAGTAGATAAGGGGCTAAGATAATTTTAAAATTTTAGTTATCACTATCGATCTATTAATATATTTAATTTATAAAATAAATAAAGTATAATGAATATTACATCTAATACTATATAACAGTTTATACTTTAGTTAAAACATACTTAAGAATAAACATTTTAATAACTCAAAAATTAATTATTAGAATTTTGATTTAGATACATCAAAAGTTTCAAGAAAATTGCCTGCCAAATAATTTACAGTAGTAAAGGTGGGTTCTCATTAAAAATAGAATTCTGTAGGACGGTTTTTAAGTTAAAAAAATGTCAAGAATTTAATAATACATGTGGTATTTAGGCATTCTTAAAAATCCTGAAAATCAGGAATTGAATAAAAAAATAAAATTAAAGAAAAAATGGGGGTTAGAMGTATTTAAAAAATCACTATGTGTCCCTGTATATTGATTTAWATTTTGAAAATTACCTCCAAATGGTTTAGCTGTTTGAGCTGTATTTGATCCAAAGATATTTGGTTGAGTTGTATTCATACCAAAAGGTTGAGTTGACGGTTGAGTACCAAATGCTGGTGTTGTTTGTTGAGATTTCCCAAAAATGCTATTTTGTGCACCAAAAACATTGGAAGTACTAGTATTTCCAAATCCTATTAATTTTACATAACTGTTAATAAATATATTTATATTTAAGTAGAGTAAACTTTTTATAACTTTAAGCCTAATACAGGACTGAATTATGACTTGCAGTGCCCAAAAACAATTTTGGTTAAAGTACATTACGATAATTGCAAGTTTTTAAGTATGGATACAAACTAAACTATATGTATAAACTCTTGTACTTAATCAAAACAATTTAATAAAATAATTTAAATTTTTTATGGACAAATATTATTTAATAAAAATATTTAAATAAGAAAATACAACGTCGATTGTGCATTTTGAATAGTTTAAGGGTGGTGCTTCATCAGGGAAGTCRATCAGTTTGGTAGACTAAAGTCTATTCGACATATACCTTAATTTAAATGAGTCAAAATGATAATATAATTTTGAAATATTAAAATTGTTCAAGATATATTATGATAAAATATAAATGGTTTGACATAAAAATACTTTAATAGGTATTTTTAAATCTATATAGAATTTCTATCTCTTAAGGTTTTACTAATTGTTATATTTGTATGAAGTAATGTAATAAATACATTCTAATGTTTCAGTCAATTTAATTTGAAATATATAAYTACAAAGTAAACTTACCTCCAAGTGCAGGTGTAGTCGAGGTTGCGCCAAAAAGTGGTTTATTATCATTTGCTCCGAATAAACCTGTACTTGTTGTTGCTGTAGAACTAAATAAAGTTTTAGGAGATCCAAAGATGCCACCACCAACAGCACCCTATAAAAAGGAATAAAAAAAAATATATAAGGTTTTATTTAGGTGATAATAATTGATAACAATTAATGTAGTTTCAAATATTTTCAGAGCAAATAGAAAAGTTAGCAAAACATTACAAACAATCCTTATTTTCAGATTACCTGTTGTCCAACTTTACGGTTTGCAGAATAATCTTCAAATCTAAGTTCCTCAAATATTTTTGATTCATATTCTTTCATAACAGTTATTGATTGATGTCTAGTATTAATTGTTTGATTTACACCATTTCTGACCATTGTATCAGTACCAGTCACAGGATTGAATTTTATGGTTGTACCGCCTGCAGATGTTGCTCCAAATCCTGATGTAGCACCAAAGGTTCCTGTGAATTATTTACATATAATAGTATCTATTTATAAAACCTTATTTTTCCTAAAATTAATTAGAATGAATTCATATATATATATATTTTAAAGAATAATCTAAAATGAGAACTATAATAAATTTTTTTTTTGCAAATTTATAAAAATGGAAAAATGTAAAATTAATATAAAAAAAACTATATATGTTTCTCCTAAACACTAAAGATTCAAAATAATCTACTAATAGCATATTTGATCACCAAAATTAATATTACAATTAAAAGGATGTTATACCCGAAAATCAGGTTGATTACATCTTAAGAGGATATAACACAGGCATTTGTTTTATTGAACTCACAAGTCTTTAACATAACATATTTACACTCAGCAGATCATATGCAGCTTCATTAGTTTGAAGATTAAAGTGGTTTGATGAATCATGAAACTTGATGGTAAGAACATTATCTATGGTTATATGTGGTTTTTTTTACATTAGTTCTAATTTTTAGCATATATAATATAGCATAAATTAAAAATTCTCAAAATTTACTTAAAAAATCTAATTTTAAATTATTTAACAGGCTTGGAGACAGCAATTATTGATAAATACATTAATTATTTCCCAGCTTCTTCAAGACAATTTTAGTAAACATATCATTTTACTGGCTATACATTTTGATTTKTAACATTTAGTTAGCTTATAACTGCATATTGTAGAATGCTATGTGATATTTCAGTAATCGAAAAATAGGAATTTAAAACAGGGATTGACCGTGGAAGAGTGGTAAGATTTTTCCCAWAAAATATTAAACAAATTAATTGTTTGTCTTAGCTTAAGTTAAATTAAATATAAGAACACTATTGTATATATCTCAACCCTTATGATTATGTTTATGGATTACCAGTAGTAGAAGCGCCAAACATTCCAGTGCCTGTAGTGTTTGATTGAGGTGTACCAAATATATTACCCGTTGGCTGAGCAACTGGTGTTCCAAAAGAAAAACCTGTTCCAACTGGTTTTGATTGTCCGAATGATGTATTAGGATTACTAGAACCAAATAATCCACCTCCAGTATTTCCACCCATTGAAGCATTTTGCTGGCCAAATAAACCTCCAGTTGATGCCGATGTTGCTGTAGGAGTTCCAAATAGTGAAGTTCCACCAGTATTAAAACCTAATGAAATACTTTTAATTTATTGGATTTACAAATTAACTCTAAATAATAACCTCCAAATGTTGGTTGAGCGGTTGGTGTCTGACCAAATGCAGGCGCAGCAGCAGTAGATCCAAATAATCCCGTATTAGGCTGTGTAGTTTGATTAAATAGTGATGTATTTGTTTGACCAAATACTGCAGGTGCTGTAGGCTTACCAAATGCCGACTGACCAAATCCTGACGTGTTTCCGGCCCCACCGGAAAATGCACCTGCTCCAGAACCTATCATATTTAGTATAACATAAATATAGATTATTATTGTATACAATAATAATAAAATATTATAATACAAATTATAATTATTTTAACAAATTATTCAATGTATGCATAATAATAATGCACTAAAAATGTAAWATTACTTGTATTAACAAAACAATTAAACCACTTACCAAACATTCTAGAGTMTGAAAAACCTTCAATTCAAAATCGAAACTATAATGTCATATCTGAGGTATATCAATAATTAAAAAAATATACACTATAATATTAAACAACGTGAATTTTAGTTAACAGTTTAACACTCGGAATGAAAATAACTGAAATCTGACTGAAAAATGACGTTTGACAACTTACTTTACTTAAGTAATGCTACTGATAACATGTGATATGAGAGAAGTACCAACATAACTAAATTCTTTGATGCTTGAATACAAGCCATTTTATGGATTTTGAAAAAAAAGCGCTAAAACTGTAATATTATTAATGTACATTCAAAATTCAAATACAACGGGAGTTGACTATTCAGTAGCCAAGTAACTCAAGTATTGCAGTAAGTAATAACTATACCGTTATCGCTATACATATTATGCTTATTTCATGGAAATAAATAATAAAACGTATTTATTATCTATGGTATATCTATGTTTTAAGTACATCAACTAGTGAACTATAACAGTGTAAGTAAATCTTAAATCGTAAATTGAAAAATTATCTGAAAATGTGTATTTATATACCATTAGCTTGTAAAAAAAATTTTGATTAATTTCAACAAAATCCGGCCGAGAAATTAAGTGTTCCCTAAATTAGTGAACACACGGTGTATTTTACGTAGTTATCTGATAAAGAAAAATATAGTTGGTATGGTATTTCAATTATTAATATCGAGTTATTTGATATATTTGAAAAAAACCTTGATTGCTTTCTTTTTTTTTTTGGTTATCTTTTTTTCCCATTACCATTTAGTCATGGGCTCAACTTTACTAGATCATAGACTTAAATTTATCATACGTTGTACGTATAAGCATTGAGTATAGATAGGTATATCAATGGTTATAACTTATAAGTGAAGAAGTGAGTTAACCACTACCGACTATCACATTCTCTCGGACCTATAAGTAAATGGATTATGGGGTTTTCATATATAGTTTTACCTTACTTTAATTGAGATAAACATTCTTGTATACCTAATTGTCCTAATTAGTATTTATTGAAATCTTACCAGACTCCTTAGCTAATATTTTTAACAACCTATTGTTTCATTTTCATAACAGCTGATATCAGCTCATAACTGATTTTGTTCTCTACGACATACCTACGTTTATGAGGTAAAAACTAACTTAATGTTAGAAGTCATAATGAGTACCAGACAAAATTAATTATTAGGGATAAATAATCAAAAATATTTTCGTGATTGAATAGGTAAACAATGAACCTATTTTTCAATAGTTCAATTTATTATCATTGCTATTATTCTCTGGCAAATGGCAGTCTTAAAAAATGACATTAAAACTACTATAATTAATTTTTAATTTAATTTTATGCAGTTTGTGAAATTGAGGTACTTATTTAACCTTTCTATTCAAAATTATAACCCGTGACTTTTTGTTCATTATGAACCAAATTCTGCCTATCATTAATATTTGTAATATAAGGTAAATGCTTCAACATCTTGTAGTTACCTATTACTTTACTAGCTTAGAATAATTGTAACAAATATTGAAATATGAACAGGAATATAGTATCAATGATAGTATTTAAAGGTATTTATTGCTTTGGTTTTTGGTATTGTCTTCACTGAGAGACGCGCGAGAGCAAATTGGAAGGATGTAGAAAATGTTTCGTGCTTCAGCGTATTTTGAGCATCCAATGACGATATGGTCGATCGAGAGGTTTTCCTCACATGTGTTGCATACTGGAGCAAGTTCTTACAAGATGGGAAAAGAATGTGTGAAGCTTGTGAAGGTGTAACTTATTCTTATACTGGTTATGATGACTTCGTCTCTTCTTTTTAGGGTATGGGGGAAGTTCCATTCATAGGTGAATGACTTGATAGTACTTAWTTTTTTATTTGTGAGGAGAACGTTGCTCCATAATTTCTGCCATGTATCCAGAATGACAGAATCTTATATTAATGCCATTAATGGTGTCTGGTGACTCTGAAGATGTAATAAGTTTTAGTTTTATGCAGAGGCGTATTTAGGCACAGGTCCGGGCCTAGAGCGGCAACATTGGAGGGCGGCAAATTTCAACAATTTTTTTTTACAAAATTAGAAAAATTATTTTTCATTTGATGAAATCAAACTCAACTAATTTTTGTTCGCTCAAAATTAATCATATATCTACATATATCTCAATGTATTTTTTTAATATAATATTATAATATAATAAATTGTATATTTAAATACGTTTTAGAAATAATTGTAGGAAGGATGAAGGGGGAGGAAGGCGGCGAAATGGAAAGTGCCTAGAGGTGGAAAAACCTTAAATACGCCACTGGTTTTATGCTGTTGTGAGAAAGTGTAACTTCATTTACAAATTTATCTGCTATTTCGTTGCCAGAAATACCGACTTGGGGTCTGGGGAAGGACCCACACGAAATTATGAAAGCAGTTGTTTTGTTGGTTGATGATGTCTATTTCTAGATATGCTGCATAATTCGTTCTTAGAATAGGGACTTAAAATTGATTTAAGAAAATCGGAGAGTCACTTATGATAGCGAAAGAATCTGAATTTGGTGAGTAGGTAATTTTCAGTGCTTAAAATATAGTATAGGTTTCAGCTRTGCTCCATTATATTAAAACTATTATTTTACAAAAAAACTATGTATTCCCCTCCCCTCCATACAAAATTCTTGTCTATGGAAGGCATGACACTACGAAACACTTCAAAAGTTAATTTTATAGTAGGTAACTACAAGTTACAACACAACCAATTTTTTCTCCTTGAAAGTTGCTAAGTTACTTGTTCCACACATAGTGAATAGCCAGTTTGTCACAACTTCGCAAGGAACTACCTAAATGCGTTTAATTCTAAATGTTATTAGACAATATTGCAGAAGTCGCACGACGTCGCGGCTGATGGAGTGATGGATAATATCTACAGCCATTGCAGACGTCCAATCAAACACATAGTCTATCAGTTAATTAAATTGTATAACAATTAATAATTATATTATATCATTGATATACCTATAATTTATTGGGTTAATAGGTACTAGTTGATATTTTATAACCTTATTTTAGAGCAAAATAAAATTATTGAGTTATATACACACCACCGGAAGTGTATATACGTCCGTGATATGCCCTATTAGGTTAGGTTTAAATACAAAGGTAATGGTAAAACTTTTTTATCGTAAATTAATTTATGTTCTCACAGACATGCCATGCACTAATACGTTAACATGTAAAAATTATCTACAAATTTAAATTGTGGTACGATATGACGTARTATGGTGTGTTCTAATATTACACGCATTTATTCAAAAATATTAGCATACATTTTTAAGTATTAAAACGATCAATTAACAAATATAAATTTGATTATCTTTGCTAAAATACGGATTTTTTTAAATAGGTTAGATAAGCATTCATATTTACTTATGATTACTTAAAATACAATTGTTAGCATTCATAAATGTATTTTAATTAAAATTTTAAAAAACTTAAAGGTTATTAGTAGGACTTTATTATTATATTTTATTAGATACCTATTTAGTAAGATGCATGTTGACTTTAACCATTGACTTGAAAATCAAAAAAAAATATTACTATTTATAATTTATTGGGAAGAGGACTTATAGCTCTAAAATGCAAGCACTTATGCAATTAAAACTTTTTTTTTACACAAATGTACATACCGCATTTATATAGAACTGACTGAGACTAAGTTCTAAAATATTGATTAGTGTCATCTCTAGAAAYGTTTTATTAATAAATCCTAATCGAATAAAATCCTATGTAGTGCACTGTGCACACAAAGCTGAGGCGGTGATGTCGTAGGTATAGTGTACGACGTTAGATCGTTTTTGTTTTTACKAAAAATGTGTGCCCGTGCACACTCAATCAAAACCTATATTAAAGAACAAAAATTAAAAATAAATAAATATTTATCCAAACATTTTGACTGTATTGTTTGAAATAAAAATGTCACAGTGAAAAAAATTGATTTAAGTTAAATGTCTCAAAAAGTATAAAATAGCGCATAAAAGTGTGAAATATAACTTAAAAACCAAAAACGCAAAATATGCATTTTTATGCACAATAAAATTTCAAAATTAGCTTTGTGAAAGCATGAAATGTATTTGTATCATAATCTGCTATTTTTGTGACTGTGCAAAACAAATATGCAAATGTTTTAAGTCCTCTGCCCTAATAATTTATTATGAAATCAATGCTGTAACTTATTATGATAAGTTATAACTGAATGTATTGAAATAAATGAAATTATAAGTTTTAATTTAAAGCAAGATTATCTATAAAAAATAAAATATATTAAAATTGTA